TATCTAAAGTGGTTCCCACCCCTTTCCAGATTGGGATGTGTACTAAACCCCTGCAGACCCCCAGCCCAGTACACTCTGGAAGAGGGGGGATCTCTCCTGGAACCACAGCCCCTGGGGCCATTGGGGTGGACTTCAAGGGGACCCGGGCTCTGAACAGTGCCAGGAATTGAGAAGCCTTGGGGCCTGCTTTTAGCTGCCTAACTGCAGTGAGCACCACCTGGCATGAAAAAGAACTCAGGGATGTTCAGGTAAACTGACAAGTGGATGTTACAAAGTGAGTTCCAGGCTGTAAATGCATGTGGTGCTCAGAAAAATGGCCACATGACCCTCAGGTTAATCAGCTTCAAAATTCTAAAGCAACTCCTTTCTCTTCCACTTTGCCTGACCTCACTGTTTCCCTTTGCCCCTCCCCCTCTCACTGTGTGTCCTGCAGATCCTAGAGCAGGCACCAGCTCAGATGTGCTTTCTTCTTCGAGGCTGCCTTGAGGTCTCTGTCCTTCCGAATGGTTCAGCAGGGCCTGGAGGGTGCAACAGCTGCTGTGTGGAGGTTTTTTTGAGGGGTGTGGTCTGGAACTGCTGAAGCTGGCACAAGGCTCTTCAGCTTGCTTGGCTCCTGTATCTAGCTCCCGTCTTCCTCCTGCCTTCTCATAGCTCTACAACCAGTACTGGGGGCACAGTTACCTCCTCCGTGATGCCTTGAATATCTTCTTTTGCTGTCAACTCCTGGGTTTTGGCTTCATCTCCTGAGAACCTACATTGTGGCCATAACTCGTAACTGCTTTTCATATTCCACTTCCTGAATCTCTCTGGCCAGCCCTGATCTGCCCCTCCGGTGTCTTCCCACTGTTTTCCAGGGGAGATTCATCACTGGGCTGGGCCTCAGATCCTCTGTGGTGTTTGCCTAACAGAAACATTCCCCCGGATGCTCCCTGAGTGCTCCCTTCCCTCCCCTCTTTTCCGGGAAGCACTCCTTGGTGGGTGGTGCCCAGGCCTTGGCCTCCTAAAGCACTTCTTGCCCCCTCGGTCTTCCCTTGCCCTCTGGTGTCATATATTTTACTTAGTGTGTCCTCCCGTGTGACCCACCTCCCTCACTGGAGGGTCTGAGGCTGGTGACCAGGGCCACATCACATAGGTGGCCATGTTTTGCCACGTAGGTGCTGGGTGTCACTGGGCATGGAACTGCCTGCTCCTGGCCAGAGGTGTGCCAGCTGGGCGGTGTGCGTGCGGGATCAGCAGCCCTTTCTCACCTGTCCTACTCTGCCTCTCCTCAGGCAGGCCAGACTCCGCTGGAGACTGCCCGCTGCCACAATAACCCAGAAGTTGCTCTTCTCCTTACTAAAGCTCCCCAGGTAGGATTTACTGCCCTTTCCATGGTACTGATTATGTGGGGCTACAAAGTTGTTGGGACTCCTGGTTGCAATCTACTGAAGCCACTTCAAACAAACTTACATAGGGAATGTAACCCGGCAGTGGAGGTGTAGGCATCCATGGGGCCCAGGATGACGGGAGTGAAAGGCTTCAAGTCCAGCTCTTCACGCCTGGGCCGCCTCGTCTTCTCCCTGTGGCTGGATCATTGTCACAGCCAGCTGCCTGGGTCATAACTTCCCAGACACTCAGCCGAGGAAGAAGTTCCAGTGTAAGACATTGCAGGAGAGGGCCATGATTGCAGAGTTTAGGCCAAATGCCCATCCCTGAAGAAGTGGGACAGGGACTTTAAGAAGGGGCTTCCCCAAAGAAAGGCAGGAGGGAGGGGACCATTCTGGGCAGACAGTCGCCTGCCAGAGACAGTTAAGTACAGTCTAGTTTTCTTTCCTCTTTTACTGAATAATGTTATTTTGACCATCATTTAATTCTTTTTAAATGGTGGCTGATACTTTAGTTGATGTTGACATTATCTAAGTAACAATAAAGAAATTTAATAATAATTTACAAGCTATTCATAATTCTAGCCCCCCGAAACAACTGTTTTTGTTTCATCCACAAAATAGATGAAACAGACACATAATTGTTTTATAATTGTGCTTACAATGTATATACCCTTTTGTATTTCTTCCTTTTATCCTATTATAAAACATTGTTCTGCAGTCTTCATAATTATTCATTATAATGGAGGCATAATATTCTTTTTGTTGCTATTAATATTTTATTAAGCCATTTCCTTAATGATGGACATTTAGGTTGTTTCCAGATTGGCACTATTCTGTATTATATTATAGAAAACACTGATTGGCTTTCCATCTTATTCTGCAAGAAGAAGATGAAGTCTCACGGAGTCAAAGGAAGATTTTGAACACTACCCTGCTGCAAAATAACCCAATACCAGCCCAGGGTTTGGGATGGCCTTTATTTCATCTAAGTTCTTAAAACATGCCTAATATAACTAGTAGTTTCTGGAAATGGTTAAGATTTGTATCTTTTGCAAAATTGATCACCCTCTTGTGCATGGAGCTGGTCCTTCTCAGTGGTCTCTGAAAGGCCGCAGAGCTCCTGACAAAAGGAAGTCAGTAGGAAAAGCTGCGGGGCTTCCACGTCTAGCAGCTTTTATCGTAAGTGGAATCACATCCATGAATCCTGATAGAAAAATGCTAGTCTCTCATGGATCTAAAAGTATGAAGTGCTGTATAAACGTCAGAACCCATCACATTTCTCTGGCAATTTCAGTGTGTGGTAATTTAATGGACAGCCAGCCCCACCCTCAGCCATACAAAGACCAAGTCTTATGGGGCTGGAGGGTTCCCTAGGCAGAGAAGGATTGACGGATCTTTAATCCACCTGTCATTTGTCTTCCAGAGCCCAAGGATCTTCACTTACAGGGAAAAGAGCCTTACCGTGGACCATTTCCCTGTGCAGTTCTTTTTTGTTTCCACTTAAAAAAAGACTTAAGCAAGTTTCTCCATGCTTACATCGAATAACAAATAAATTGGATGACATGCTATGAAAGTTTTTTTTATGCATAATTGTATATGCTGAGCCTTATTCTCAACACAAACAAGGAACTTTAGACATAAGATGTTATGCATACTGTTCTCTTGATCTGTGGTTACAGAAATAGCATTAGTGTTTGCTTTGCCTGAAAAGAGAAATCCCCTTGCCTTAGGCCCATAGACGGACATGGATTTTAAATGGGCCACAGCAGTACTAAGAGGGTACTATTTATTTATTTATTTGAGACAGAGTCTTGCTATGTCACTCAGACTGGAGTGCAGTGGTGCAATCTCGGCTCACTGCAACCTCCATCTCTGGGGTTCAAGTGATTCTCCTGTCTCAACCTCCTGAGTAGCTGGGATTACAGGCATGTGCCACCACACCCAGCTGATTTTTATATTTTTAGTAGAGACAGGGTTTCACCATGTTGGCCAGGCTGGTCTCGAACTCCTGAGCTCAGGTGATCCACCCACCTTGGCCTCCCAAAGTGCTGAGATTACAGGCATGAACCACTGCACCCAGCTATAGGATACTACTTTTGAAGACCTCACAGTCAATATTCCCTCATTTCTGTGGACTGGAAAAAATTAATGACATCCCATTTAGTAGATGGTCTGGTTTGCTGAGAAAGGCTGGAAGTCATGCAAAGTTATTTTCACTGACTAATAATGTGGTGAATGGAGGGAATTTTGCTGATTATAATTTTGAGTTTGGGTGACCTCTGAGTGTCACTTGTCATTTTGATTGGTGTGGTTTACAAATGCTCTGAAAGTAAATTTTAGGCTGATTCTGGTGCTGTATTAAGAGTCCATACATCAGGTGAGCGATGGGTATAGTCACTTTCTTTCATCATACTTGATTTCCTGGTGAATCTGAATTTAGCTTTAGAAATGACTTGGGGAAGTGGTTCTTGGACTTCTTGGTCTAAGGACTCTTTTACATTTTTAACTATTATGGACCAGAGATTGAAGGTTTCCATCAACTCAAAGATCTGTACTCTGTTAAACACCCTCTGCCAGTTAAGCCACCTGAAGGCAGGGAGGGAAGCACCTGACAGTGACTGACAGTCCACTGTGTGCCAGCCCTCTGTTTTTTCTTGGTGAATCCCAATGACTCCTCGTTTTTCTTTCTTTTTCTTTTTTAAAAATAAAGACGAGGCCGGGCGCGGTGGCTCACGCCTGTAGTCCCAGCACTTTGGGAGGCTGAGACAGGCAGATCATGAGGTCAGGAGATTGAGACCATCCTGGCTAACACGGTGAAACCCCATCTCTACTAAAAATACAAAATAAAATTAACCAGACGTGGTGGCAGGCGTCTGTAGTCCCAGCTACTCGGGAGGCCGAGGCAGGAGAATGGTGTGAACCCAGTGAGCCGAGATCACGCCACTGCACCCCAGCCTGGGCGACAGAGCAAGACTCTGTCTCAAAAAATAATAATAATAAAAATAAAGATGAGCTCTCACTTTGTCTGCCAGGCTGGTCTTAAACTCCTCTCCTCAAGCAATCCTCCCACCTGTGCCTCCCAGAGTGTTGGGCTTATAGGCATGAGCCACTGCGCCTGACCCATTGTTACATTTGAGAAGACAGAGTGCAGACAGATCAAATCACTTGCCCAAAGACCCTACAGCCAGCGGCTACTGGCTTCAAAGTGAGATTTGTTCTGACCCACAGACGTTTTCCTGTGTCCATTCTGTCACTCTGCACTATAAGAGGCAGAGTAAATGCTGCTTTTTGGGGAAGAGATCCCTGTCCCGTGGTTGGTACTATGGCTCATAGATACACCTTAATAATAGTTTGAATCAAATTGATGTGACTTGGACACAGTTTGGTCAAGGGAACATCTGGGCTAGCTCAGGTCCAGTGTACCAAGATGGAGAGTGAGGCTGTGCCTCGCACGGGGCTGCTCTGCTGCGTCTCACAACTCCAGGAGACGCCATCCATATCCTAGTTTATGTGAATGGCACTCCCTGGAGCACAGCCTCTGTGCGTGGATTGGCAGTCCCGGCCCGGCATCAGTGTCTATAGATATTAGCATCATAGACTCTGAGCTTCTTGAGGTCAGGGATAATATCCTACCTGTCTCCGCGTCCCTGTAGTGCCCAGGACAAGACCTAGGAAGTTGGTAGGTGGTCAGAGGTGCTTGCTTGATGTGCGCACCTGCTCTCACCCTCTAGGCTGTAAATTCTGTTAGGTCAGAGCCCCGGTCCAAGGAGAATTCTCTCACACGGATGCTGCGCACACCAGTGGTTGTAACAATGCCGTTTGCCTCCTTCAGGTCTTGCGCTTCAGTCGTGGGCGAAGCCTGAGGAAAAAGAGAGAGAGGCTCAAGGAAGAGAGGAGAGCCCAGTCTGTGCCAAGAGATGAGGTGGCCCAAAGCAAGGTGGGGGGCAGTCCTCCCGCCGTCCGCACATCCGCCTGTGCTCAGAGGGTGGGAAACTATCTCCCTGCTTCAGCCAGGTTCACCTGGTGGCTGCCAGGCCCTCTCTGCCTCTCCTCCTTGCTGGAGCTCTTCAAACTGTTGCCAGTCTTTTTCTCTTTGGCTTCACATCCTCCATTCCCCAAGGTTTCAGGCCATGTGCCTCCGTGTGCGCTGCCCATTACCCATCCAGTATGCATTGGGGGCACACTTACCAGCCCAGGTATCTGTGGCCTTTGCCCACGCCCTGTGGGCAGTACTGCTTCTCTAACACTGTGTCCAGATTGTGTAGGACAGTGGCTCTCAAAATGTGGTGTCCAGTGTGTCACCTGGGGCCTTATTAGAAATGATAATTCTTGGGCCTCACCTCAAACCCACGGGATCAGAAACTCGGGTGGGGCCCAGCAATCTGTGTTGGAACAAGCCCTCCAGGGCACTCTCATGTGGACTAACATTTGAGAGCCACTGGTATAGGCCACTTCCATTTAGGGAAAGGACCAAGGCTATGCTAGCCTGTATGGCTCCCTTATATGAATTAGAAAATATGCCCCCCAGGCAGACCCACCGTGCACAGGGCACGCATGGTGAGCAGAGCCTGAGCTGATTTCAACTCCTCTTGCCCCACACCTCCACCTCAGCTAGATGCCCTTGTGCCTTGTAGCCCTGGAATAAACCATGCCTTTAAGTTCAATCAGGAGGAAGAAGCCTGGGATATGGAGACAGCTTTTGGCACAGAAAATGTTATCACCAAGTACTTGCTCTTCTATCTGCTATTTCAGAATCCTCTCATCAGTTTCCAGGGTTAAGGCATTGCAACTCTGATTAACTTCCTAGGTGTGAATTGTACATATTCAGTTGTGAACATTCTCACAAGGACCAGAAATATGATATTTTTTCATTTCAAAGGATTCTTACTCTTTGCCATGAATTTTGTTGGTGGGGTTGGAGGTGGTGGGTGGGGGGCGGCATCCAAGGTCAAAGAATGAGTGAGTTATGTTTTGTTGAAATGTAAACGACCAAAAATCTCGAATGTTGAGGTGTTTTGTGTCGGGTAGGTTCCTGGTGTTCTACAGCATCGAATTAGACCCAGGAATATATTTAGCTTAGGACCTAATAAATACAATAAAAGCCAAATTGTTCAACCAACCAGGAAAAGCATTCTATGTTAAGACCACCAAGCAGTGTTTCCTGTGTCTGAAATCTATGGCATCTGCAAAGGTTCCCGTGGGTCCCTTACTATATGGAATCTTGCAAAGAAAATTTGATCCTATTAGTGAAAAAGGCCAAGGCAGCAAACACAATAGGTCTCTGGGTTTTTTCCTACTGTAGGGCAGTGTCTCAGCAGGAGACACCCCCAGCAGTGAACAAGCTGTGGCCAGAAAAGAAGAAGCCAGAGAAGAGTTCCTGTCAGCCTCCCCAGAACCCAGAGCAAAGGATGACAGGAGGAGAAAGTCAAGGCCCAAGGTCAGGAGACACAGAAAGCAGCCCAGGGGGTGGCTGGGAGGCAGGGTGGCACGGGTCCTGGCAGAGTGTCGTGCCCGTCAGCTAAAAAGTCCCCTCACTTGGCTGGCTGGTTTGGAGCCAGAGCACAGAAATTAAATCTGGCTAACATCAGACACAAGGTGAATGTGCTGATATATTTCTTTTGACATATGTGGCTTGGAGTAGAACACCATGAGGTGAAACAGTGGGGCTCTTTGCCCAAATGGGGTGACATGGGCGCCACTGACTGGTGTCAGTCTTGCAAAAGTCAAAGCATTCAGGGGTGTTGTCTCTTCCTCTCCCACAGGTATCAGCATTTTCTGACCCCACCCCACCAGCCGACCAACAGCCTGGACACCAGAAGAACCTGCATGCTCATAATCACCCTAAAAAGAGGAACAGGCATCGGTGTTCATCCCCGCCCCCACCCCATGAGTTCAGGGCATACCAGCTCTACACATTGTACCGGGGCAAGGATGGGAAAGTGATGCAGGTACCTGCTAAGCACTGTCAGGAGAAGGGAACATAGGCCTTCAGCAAGGGTTTTTGTTTAACGGCATTCCTGGGGGCTGATAGCCACTTTAGGCATTGACTTAGTTAAGCACAAGCTTTGAAGGTAAGCCAGATGGCCTTCCCACCTGCACGGTGCAGATCCACTCCTGCTGCTAAGGCCAAGGCAGACGGAGGTGTGTGTGTAGCTGCAGAGCTTGCTGCACCATCCTCAGGTGACTAGGTATCTTGAGGCCCCAGGGTATATAAAAGCACCTGAGGAGAGGGACCGTATCTTACCCTCTGAATCTTCTTCCCCAAAGCTTCGCCTATAAGATATTTCAAAGTTACGACAAGGATGAGCCTATCTCTTCCATCATCTCTATCCTCTGGTATACTGCCTGGCACACGGTGGGTGCTCAAAACATACTTGTTGAAGGAATGAACTTTTTTGTTTCTCTCTTAGGCACCAATAAATGGTTGTCGATGTGAACCTCTAATCAACAAGCTGGAGAATCAGTTGGAGGCTACTGTGGAGGAGATAAAAGCAGAGCTGGGATCGGTTCAGGACAAAATGAATACAAAGCTGGGGCAGATGGAGAATAAGACCCAGCACCAAGTATGTCCTAAGGCCCAGCTTCCTAACTGCAAGGTGTTCTGGCGGAACATGAACTCAGGAGCCGACTTTGACTTCAGCACACCCTTCTACCCTGGGATGTCCAATGGGCTGTCAGGGAAGAGGCCTGCTTCTGCTTATGTGATTTTGTTAAAGCACATTTAGTTCAACTTTTTAAAGAACATGTTTAAATTGCCTCTTATTATAAAAATAAGATAGCCCCATTACAGAGCACTTTTAGAAATATGAAAATTAGGAAAATAAGTCACCTATAAGCCCACTGTGCCGAAAAGCACTATTAATATTTGGGTTTAAGCTGGGAATGATGGCTCACATCTGTCATGCCAGCACTTTGGGAAGCCAATGTGGGCAGGTCACTTGAGGTCAGGAGTTCGAAACCAGGCTGGCCAACATGGTGAAACCCTGCCTCTTCTAAAAATACAAAAATTGGCCTGGTGTGGTGGCTCACACCTGTAATCTCAGCTACTCGGGAGGCTGAGGCACAAGAATTGCTTGAACCTGGGAGGTGGAGGTTGCAGTGAGCGGAGATCGTGCCACTGCACCCCAGCCTGGGCGACAGAGTAAGACTCTGTCTAGAAAAAAAAAAAAAAAAAAATTGGGGTTTATCTTCTTTAAGTCTTTTTCTATGTCAGTCTTTCTGTTTGTCAATTTTTGCTACACTCCTTTCCCACTACATATAAAATTAGAATAATTGTGTTTTTTTCTTTTCCCAACTTTTTATTTTAAAAGTTTTCAAACATACAGAAAAGTTCACAGAATAATGGAGTGAATGCTTGCATATAATCCCTGCAGTCAGCCAGTTAATATGTTGCTATATTTGCCTTATCTCTCTGACACATATTTTTTTAAATTCTTGAACTATTTCAGATTTAGTTGCAGACTGTCCTGACGGGGCATCTCTAAATATTTCAGAATGTTTAGAATAAGAATAACACTTTCAACTTCATAACAATATTGCTTTCACACCTGAGAAAATGTTATCCAGTCCATATTCAGATTTTCTCGGTTTTCCTAAAATAGTATTTATTACAGCTTTTTTTTTTTTTTCTTTTTTGAGATGGGGTCTGCCTCCATCACCCAGGCTAGAGTGCAGTGTGGCAATCTCAGCTCACTACAGCCTCTACCTTGTGGGTTCAAGTGATTCTACCACCTCAGCCTGCTGAGTAGCTGGGACTAAGGCGGACACCACCATGGCCACCTAATTTTTGTTATTTTCTTGGTAGAGACGGGGTTTCACCATGTTGGCTAGGCTGGTGTCAAACTCCTGGGCTCCAGCGACCCGCCTACCTCGGCCTCCCGAAGTGCTGGGATTTTAGGTGTGATCCACCATGCCCTGCCTTTTTTTTTTTTTTTTTTTTTTAAGTTTTTGCCAAATTGATTAAGGACATCTTACTGTTTAAGTTTTATTTCCCTGTTGACTGGTAAGATTAAACATTTTTTTTTTTTTTTTTTTTTAGGCGGAGTCTGGCTCTGTTGCCTAGGCTGGAGTGCAGTGGCTGGATCTCAGCTCACTGCAAGCTCTGCCTCCTGGATTTACGCCATTCTCCTGCCTCAGCCTCCCGAGTAGCTGGGACTACAGGTGCCCGCCACCTCGCCCAGCTAGTTTTTTGTATTTTTTAGTAGAGACGGGATTTCACTGTGTTAGCCAGGATGGTCTCGATCTCCTGACCTCGTGATCCACCCGTCTCGGCCTCCCAAAGTGCTGGGATTACAGGCTTGAGCCACCGCGCCCGGCCAAGATTAAACATTTTTAAGGCTTATTTGCTATCTGCATTTTATAGAAAGGCCATTTAAAAAATATTTTGTTAGGGCAATAATAGATTAGTGCAGACTGTGTATAAAAACCCTGCTTGGCCTAGCCTAAGCTGAAGGAGGAATGAGAGATGAAGGTTGGGAAACCTCAAGGGCCTCGCTTCAGTTCAAGGGAGTGACAGATTGGGGTATAGAATCTTCGTCCTCCTTCCAAATCGCTGAGAAAGGACCCTGGCCCCCTTGGGTCAGATGCTCATACCTGAGCCAGTCAGTGTGACCTGTGAACAAAGCAATGTATACCTACCTATGGCTGCTCTTGAGAACAGCCACCTGGAGGAAGCGGTGAAGGGAGTGGGGAGAATAGGCCAATCCTGGAAAGCAGGAGGAGCACAGTTCACAGGAAAACATGGACTGAAGAGGAAAACAGAAGGTGCTCACCACGTCTCCAGAACTGATGTTTCTTTCAATGTTTTGAACATCTGAGTGTGGAATGCCACACGTGTTCCTGACAGGAGGGGAGCTCACC